TAATATAGATAGCACTACGCCTAACGGAGTGGCGCCGTTTTGTCCGACCAGCGTGAACCCTGCATGCACCCAGCGTTCGCCCGTCGTTTTGCTGGTAATTTCATTTTAGTGCGACACTAAAATTCAACCAGCACGGACCAGACAAGCAAGATGGAGGCAGAAGCATTGATTGAAGCAGTGAGAAAAAGAGAAGACCTATTTAACAAAATTAATGAGAATTATTCAAGTAGAGTTGTAATAAACCAACAATGGATTGAAGTCGGCGAGGAAGTCGGAATTGATGGTGAGTAATAATATTTATTAAAATCTTATCCAATTCAATTATCGAGGTTAAAGTCCCCCCCCCCCCACTTCTCTCTCTCTCTCTCTCTCTCTCTCTCTCTCTCTCTCTCTCTCTCTCTCTCTCTCTCTCTCTCTCTCTCTCTCTCTCTCTCTCTCTCTCTCTCTGTGTCCCTCTCTCCCCTCCCTCTCTCTCTCCCCCCTCTCTCCTCCTTTCTCTCTCTCCCCTCTCTCTCTCCCCTCTCTCTCTAATAATAATTAATAATAATAATAGTGATAATAATAATAATAATAATAATAATAATAATAATAATAATAATAATAATAATAATAATGGACTATACTGGATCCAGTTTCGGCCATTGAGACCTCATCAGTAGCCCTGTATAAATTGTCTTGCGACAAGGGAAATGAGTACCAGCCCAGAGTGCTTTGGATTGACCCAGCTGGGATTCGAACCCACGACTCCCCACATCGCAAGCGAACGCTCTACCACTTGAGCTAACGATGTTCAACATTGTTGTTTTACACAAAACAATAATAATAATAATCAGCGGACTTATTATTCTAAATAATAATATTAATAATAATAATAATAATAATAATAATAATAATAATAATAATAATAATAATAATAATAATAATAATAATAACAACAACAACAAAAGAAGGTTATTCTGTATATTTCACCATGAGATTTATCTGGTAACACATTGATCATTTTGCCATGGAAGAGTTCCAGCAGGGGATGTGAAATAGTTCATCAATGTTTCTCGCACTTTCAAGGCATTTTTTGTAGATCGAACGTTTCCATTGATATTGGATCCTTGAAAGCCTGTAAGAGTATTTGGGGTTTGAATCTGCTCACCCATTGAATCACACGGCGATACACGAAAGGGTTCTTGTATTAGAACAAAGTTGTGAAGCACAGTTATTGCCTTGACAATATTGGTCGCAGTGTTTGGTTGAACATCCATTGGCCTTTGCAAAAGTCTCCACATCATAGCTATTCTGCCAAAAGATCCTTCAACAACATTTCTTGCTCGTGACAGGCGATTATTAAAAATCTCTTTGTCATGTGTAAGTTGCCGATGAGAGAAAGGCTTCATGATATTATCCTTTAATGGGAATGCATCATCGGCGACAAACATGAATGGCAACTTGATGTCCGTTTGTGGCACGGTGCCTTCAGTGGGAATACCGAGGGTTTCCGATGCAAGTTGTCTACTAAATACTGATTTATGAAATATTCCTCCATCGTTATTACTTCCACACGAACCAACGTCAACTACCACAAATTTTCCCTCCGAGTCGGTGACAGCAAGGAGGATTATTGAGAAGAGGCCCTTACAGAGAACCTGATTTATTTGGCTTTTTAATCCGAATGTGTTTGCCATCAATTGCTCCAAGGCAAAGAGAAAGTTGTATCTTGTATAAAAAAAAATCATTTGCTATATTGATCCATTTTTCTCTATCCGGAGCAGGCATGACTCGAGGATGTAAAACGTCCCACAAAACTGCACACGTCTCTGTTGTGATTTCTCTTATAGTAGATACACCAGCACGGAAATAGAATGACAGACAAACATGGTTTTCTCCTGAAGCTAGATACCTGAAACTACAAACATTGAATACTTTTGTTTAGGTCAATAATCAATTGTTGCATCAAATGTCGAAGCACATTTATTCATTTATTTTTCTTTTCTTCTCATTCTGTGCTTCCATTAATTTACACTTCTAGTACTGGATAGACCTGTTCTATTGTCTATATAAAACACCTGCCCGCAAACATGTACCCCCCCCCCCCCCCAATCCAATCATGTATATAATAATACCAAGCTTTTATATAGCGGGTGCTCAGTGCGCTTTACAAGGAGTCCCATATCGACAGCAAGATATAACATTTTGGACACCACAAGCAGTCTGTTAGGCGCTTTACATTTTTTTACGTGGACAGCACTGTTAATGGCCTTATACTCGTTTTCACATGAGTGGGGTGGGGAAAGTGCGTGAAAAAACATTTCCCAAGGACTTTACTTCGGGTTTCGAACCCATGACCTTCCGATCACGAGTCAAACCGTCTAACTACTAGACCACAGGCCACTTTAGTTTTTTCTTTCCAATCTGTCATCAATAATTATGCTGTCTACTGATATATTATAATATATACCGGTACATGTATTACCATCCCAACAGGTGCAACTGCAAGAAAGAAATGGGTAATGCTGAGGGATTCTTTCCGGACGCAACATAAGAAAGA